ACCCGTGAACCCATCCCTCTAGTAGTGAATTAGAACATTATTAATAAATATTGAAGTTACCCAATCCCATAAGTCCGCCTTTTCCCATCCCTGCCATGATACTTAATTTTGAGTTGAACGTTTCCTTTCTTTAAAAACAGGTTTTTTTACAGATGTATACATGTATGGCATGACTATATGTGCCTGGTATGAGGTAAGAATCCAATTCCACTTTTTCTGTTAATGTTTTTGTTGAAAATCTCTCAAATATATGGATGGAAAAGGTCCAAGTACAGTACAAAGAACTTTTCTCCTGAACCATTTGAGATTATGTTGCCACATGATGCCCCATCATTGCTGAATATTCTGCGTATTTCCTGCAAAGAAGGATATTCTCCTGCATAACCACAATATGGCCATGAAAATCAAGAAATTAACATGTATAGATTGCTACCATCCAACCAGACCGTATGAACATTTCAACTGTTGAAGCAGAAATGCCTCTGACCCCGCTTCTGTTCCTGCTGTGTGAGGGTTAGGCTCCTCTCTGACCCGTCCCCTTGGAGCTCTGCTGTCTAGTTGGGTGAGTTCCACACCCAGTCCCACCCCGCTGCCCTGGTTCTTCAGTGGTGAAGGATTGTTGCAGTGGTGAGGGATTGTTGCAGTGGTGAGGGATTGTTGCAGTGGTGAGGGATTGTTGCAGAGCATTACCTTGACTTTGCTGACTCAGCTTCCAGCGATGCCTTGTAAATTCAGTCTTAATCCACTCCAAGGTACGAGGTCTCTTTCTGGAAATCTCCTGTTTATGTCACCCCTGACTCCCACATTTCACAGAGACCCTCTCTCTGGTTTGTTCCCAGCACCGTGAGAGGGTCACGTCGATTTCTGTTACCTCTTCTGCCCAGAGCTGGTCTGTCTACAGCTCTGCAAAAATTTGCCTCTGTCCTTTGATCTTGATCCCAGATGGTCGTCTATGGGCAGTCAAGGTTCCCTCCCAACACGAAGAAATAGAGAAATTTGTGGCCTCATTCCTGGTGAATTGTAGGCATGGACCAAGAAGCCTATGATGTAGGGTCTGCTCCTCTTGTATTCCAGATGTGCTTGAAAAAATTCTATTAAATCTCTTGGATAAGAAGAAGTGGTCCTTGGCCAAGTGAAACCCTTCTTAAGAAAATTCATTCTCAGAATCTTTCCGTTGATCAAGTTGGGTCTACTGGGGGGTTAGGAAGCCTAGAGGATCTGCTCTGCCTGGGAGTTGGGAGTGGAGGGGTCTGATACTCCAGTAGGTTTTGAAAAGAAGGAAAGATAGCAGAGCACGCTCATTCTAAGGTATTGTGGGTCAGTTATTTCTACACAGTGCACTTTGCTGAGCAATCCCTTTCACTTAATGTATTCAGTGTAAGGTATCCTATTTTTTCTGATTATCCTTGGCCGTTGGGCCCAGAAAAACTGCACCTTAATTGATCCTAATGCCTGATCCTCCCCAAGCATCCAAGTCACGAGTACTCCATCAAGGCACTGTGGAGTCAGTAGCAGCCTCTTCCACAGCTTGTGGCCGTTGTAACCTCAATTTGATAGCACATTAACCAGGTGTAATTTTTGTGATTCTCAGAGCAGTGTTCTCAGGCTGGTGTAGGCACACACCTTCACCTGCCAGGCCCACGATTTCCTCCACACTGGTCACATATCACTGGAGCTCATTTGAAGGCTGAAGAGCCAGGAGAGAGAAGTCAGGTCTGGCTGACCTGCAGGTGGGGTCAGTGGTTGCACACCAAGGGCTGATGGGATGGAGGGGAAGGAGGGTGAAGGGCTGCTACATTATGCCAAAATGGACCAGGTCAAGCTCGAACAGCAAATGGCACAAGGATGCCACCAAAACTAATCCCCATGCCTGCTCAGGAGCTGGGCCCATGTCCATGTGGGGAAGTTCTGAGAGATGTCAAGCCGTGTCCAGTTTATGATCCTCTTCTGCTGTTATGTGCAGAAAACTCCTTCCCCATGGTGTCCTTGGAAAGTTCCTTTCTCTAAAAAGACCTCCTTTAGATAGTCGTCTAGTTAGAATCTTTTGGATTATTCAGAACTCTATAAAAAGACAAATTCTGGTTAATCAGCATCAGTCTCAGTTGCTTCAGTCATATAATCGCATTTTTCTCTGGCTTGGGTGAGAGGAATCTCAGGTGAGTGGGTTGGGGGGAGGGAGGGTGATGCATTATTTTTGAGCATGAGGTACTTGGGAGAAGGGTGGGCTGCTAAGGTTCTGAAGGGACACAGAAGGCTCTAGAAGCTGGAGTGGGAGAACCAGGGAGGCAGGCTACAAAAGTCTGCGTATGTGGGCTGGGTATTCACTCCTCATCTCTCAGCTCCAAGCTCACTCCTTGGTACTTTGCTCTGTGGTGCCAGGGCTGCGATCTGCAAACCATATTTCTCACATTCCCTTGTCGGCTGGGTTCCTGCTGAGGGGAGGCACTAGGAAGAGCCTGGAAAGAGAGAAGAAGAAGACCCTGCCCTCTGTCTCCATCCCTCTCAGCGTCTCTCCTGCTCCAGCCTCCAGTTGCTCTTGGTCCTGTCAGCATCACCCACACCACATGCCTTCAGAGGCACCTGCACCGGCTGGGGGGTGGGAGCGGGGTCTCCTTCAAGCTTCTGGTAGCCCATCTCTTCCTTTTTGTCCCCCAGTCTCAAACATGGCAGCTGCTTTCTGCAGTTACTAATATCTGGGTTATCTCAGTGGCCTTGTGTGCTCTTTCGGCCTTCCAACATGGACCGTTTCCCTGTATGAAACTTGAAATACCTGCCATGGTTTCCGTTCTCCTAAAGGGACCCTGCTGTAGGGAGTATTGTATTAGTTTGTCCAGGCCTATCTATTTGTATTTACATGTGACCAGTTTCTAACATACATCACAAGACGTTTTCCATGGACGTGCATCAATGTGACCAACAATCATTAACATAAGATAAAAGATTTTAAAAAAAACCTGGAAAGGAAATGTTAAGAATTTTAAGCTGAGAAAAAGATTTTCATCTTGACACTTTTTTCCTGCTTCTTACTGGATGGGGAGCCTCAGGGATCTGGCTATGTTATGGGAGTCATAATTGCCAAGTTTCTGCAGAGGCTTTGAGCTGCAGAGGAGAGAAGACCTGGAAGTCGGCCCTTTGTTCAGCAGAGCGTCCTAGGTAGTTTTTAGATCTGCAGAGAGAGGCCGGGAGCTTAGCTGCATGGGTCGTGGGGAGCCTATTGCTTTGTGGCGGTGATGAGCATGAATTTGGAGATCACGGAGAGAGAGAGCAGGAAGGAGAAAGCAGGGGGGCCTAAGGAGGTGCCCGGCCAGCCAATGTCCCCAAATGACCAACGAATTTAGAATGTTGATCTCTAATATTCAGCTAAATTTTTACTACAAAAGTAGTATATTGTTATAGGCCCACCACAAAACTGTTCAGAAATTTAAAACCATATGGAGTGCAGAGAAGAAGAAACCATCCGCTCCTCCCCTTTTCCCTCTTCCGTCCTACAGGCATCCAAGGAGATCGTATCAGCCATGTTATTCACCAGCTTCCTTTTTCCTCTTAACAGTACATCCTTTCAATGGCTACATAATACTCCTTATTATGGATCTAACAATTAATTATAATATTCGCCAGTTGGTGGACATTTAGATTGTTTTTGATTTTTTAATTACCATAAAAAAAGATGCCCTGTGACTTATCCACTTGCACACAAGCAAGTAATTCTGTAGGAGAGACTCCTAGAAGGGGGATTGCTGGGCCCAGAGTGGGCACGTTTAAATGCTGACTCTGCCAGATGGCCAGCTGGACTTCTGCGACCCCTCCCAGCACGGGGTCAGAGAGCACGTGTTTTTCCACAGCCTGAGGCAGAGTGGATCTTACCCATCTTTAAAACTCTTTTCCAGGACTGGCCCGATGGCCTAGCGGTTAAGTTCACGCACTCCGCTTCTGCGGCCTGGGGTTCGCATCCCAAGTGCAGACCACCACACCGCTTGTCAAGCCATTCTGTGGCGGCGTCCCATATAAAGTGGAGGAAGATGGGCACAGATGTTAGCCCAGGGCCAGTCTTCCTCAGCAAAAAGAGGAGGATAGGCATCAGATGTTAGCTGAGGGCTGATCTTCCTCACAAAAGGAAAAAAATTATTTTTTAGTCTGATTGGCAAAACGGGGCACCTCTCTGTAGTTCACATTCCTTGATTGACAGTGAGCAGAGCATCCTTCCAGCATTCATTAGCCAGCTGTATCCCCTTTGCTAGAATCACTTTTTTATAGCCTTTGTTTATTTTTTCTATTGGGTTGTCCATTTTTCTTACCAATTTGTGGAAATTCTTACAACGTCCTGGATATGAATCCCTCGTGTGCTGCGCATCACACATCTTTTGGGCTCGTATCTTCATCTCCGGGGCACATCTGGGGAGATATAGCTGATGCCGCAGCCCTGGATTTGAGATGGAGGGACAATTCAGACAGAAGGGACCGCGGGGAAGAAGAGGCAGGGAGTCTGTCCTCAGGCAACTCTGCGGCGAGGTGGGGATGCGGTGAGGAGAAAGCAAAGGACTAAGGATCGTCCCTTACTGACTATGCGACTTTGGACACCTTGTCTAATCTCCCCAAGGTTTAGCCTCTTCCACAAAAGTAGAAGTAATGCTGTTTACTCCATATAGGATCCTCCTGTGAAATAAATGAGTAAATTCACATGCAAGACTCGCTTCAGGGCCTGGCACGTGGTCAATGCTTGAGCAAGGAGCAGTTGACGGTGTGAACCTTTGACAGGTTTAGAGGGCCACGAACACATGAGCTGATGTTAGCTTAACACGTTATTATCCATTTCTCCTGATGCACTGGAAGTTTCTGAAGTATTCGGGAACTCTCTTCATTCAGAGTTTGGAGCCTGGGACACCCTGAGTGTCAGGTCACCTCCCACTTTCACTGACTGGCAAATGGGGACACGGGGGCTGGCACTGAGGAGAAGACTGACGTCAGGGAAGGGAGAAGTGGTGGGTGAACGCACTGGACACTTGTCCAGGGGAGAGGCAGGACTTTTCTCACCATGGCTGGAACCAGGGCACTTCTGATGCTGGAAAACTTCATCGACGGGAAATTTTTACCCTGTGCCTCATATATAGATTCTTATGACCCGTCTACAGGGGAGGTGTACTGCAGGGTACCAGACAGCGGAAAGGAAGAGGTGAGTAAATTCACTCAGAAATGTACTTAATGTGTTGGTGAATTATGCGTAACTTAATTTTCTAGGAGCAAAGGGCGTCGAGAAAAGGTGTAGAATTGTTCAACATCAGCAGCAGGGAGATTTTAGTTCTGGAAGGTTTACTTTGTAAGTGGACATACATGACACAGGGAACAAATCTCTGGTGACCACATGAGGAGCAAGTCATCAATCCAGGCACATGGCGTCAGCTGCAGGTCTCAGACACGCCTTAATAGTGTCCACTAAGAAGTATTATTTGTAAGTATTATCAGTTTTAGTAAGTTCTCCTTTTCTCTACCAGGTGTTGCCTAAATTTGCCACTATATCCATGGATTTCTAAAAAATATGTTACTACACTAAAACAAAAAAAACTTAAAAACCCAGGGATTTATTTTAGATTATCCTCTAATAAAATTCCTCATGTCTTCAAAATATCCAGTAAAGTAAAACTGATCATCTGAATGATGAATTGCAAAATCAAATTCCCATATATTTTTGGAGTTAAATTGAACACCATCCTTTTTCTTAAAGTGTTTAATGGCACACACATTAACTTTTTTTTGGTGGTGTACAATTAGTTTTATCTGAGGAAGTTTGTAAAATGTTTGAGATACATTTGATTAGTTATCTATTATTGCACTGAGAATGTAAATACATTGGGGTGATACATCTGTCTAATGTATGTATACTCACCTAATGCCTATGGAGTTTCATTTATTTCTTAAGGCACAAAGAACTAGACTATTTAAAAAGTAGCCTTCATATTTAATAAGTATTATATGCAAGGTTTTTTTTTTTAAGAACTAATTTATTATTTCCCTGTTGTTAGCATTTTAAATCTGTTTTGCATTAAAAAAAATCCTTTAGACTTGTGGATTAAAGTTTGCAAATGTTGGCTAATCTGTTGGTTAAACTGTAAGCCGCAATTCTGTTTGCTCTGAACAACCTGGGATAGATGAGGGAAAACAGCTTTGTGTTTTTCAGCCCTCGTGGTCTCAGAGTGTTTTCCAAAGTGGAGTTAACACGACAAATATGCCAAATTCAGTTGGTATGTTTTCTGCAGCTAACGGCTCCCGTCTTTCCAGAGAATAGAGCGAGGCATGGATGTACCTGCTGGGAGAGGAATAGGTATTCTGGATTTTCCAGCAATCCAACTTGCAAATATTCTATCTGATCCCACAAATCCCAGGTTTTTTTCTGGCTTGAAAAATATGGACACACTACAAACGCATGCCCAATTTCCCCAAAAATCACTCACAAAAAGTGCTGCTGGCGCTGCTAACAGTGCCTCTCTTTCATTCGGATTTTGCTACGCACTTTGCATTCACGAAGCCCTTTAATGTGAACGGTCCCAAATATGAGCCCTAACAACCTAGAAATTAGACCCTATCTTACATCCTTACTTTACAGGTGGTGGTGTGCACTCTCCTCTCTGATGTTTAGATCAACGGTCACACACACACATTTGTCTTAGCGTCTGCGTTACAGCCCTGCAGCCAGTGGCACAGACTGCTTGGCTGCAGAGACCATAGAAACCATGTGGTGCAGCCACGTGGTATCTATGGGCCTGGTTTAGAGCTGGACCTCTTGGGGCCTCGGTCTCTTCATCTACAAAATGGGGGCAATAACAATACCTACTGCAGAGTGTTGTTCTGAAGATGAAACAGACTGATACGTGTAAAGCCCTTAGAGTCTGGCATACGGTAAATGCTTTCTAAGTATTCACTTTGGCTGATATTATTGTATGTAGTACAATAGATTACTATGTATTCTATAGTAAATGGACATAAGACAACTTGGGAAATATGACTGAGATCACAAAGCTCAGATTTTTATGGGGACACTGTGGGAAGGAGCCCTCCTCCAGCTGGCTGGCAGCAGGGCCTCCTGGAGGCTGCTGCTCATGGTGGTCACCAACCCCACATCTCCTTCACCTGTCTGCAGGTCCACACTAGAGATTCAGTGTGTGAGGCGAAGCCACCATCTTTCCAGAAACTTATAATTAAGATGAGAATCATTTTATTCTTTACTTTGGTCCAGCAAAAAGTGACTTTGTTCACATAAAGAAAACAAGGAGGGGGCGGGCCCTGTGGCCTAGTGGTTAAGTTCAGTGCACTCTGCTTCAGGGGTCTGGATTCGGATCCCGGGCGTGGACCTACACCACTTGTCGGCGGCCATGCTGTGGGTGGCAACCCACATACAAAAAACAGGAAGACTGGCACAGATGTTAGCTCAGGGCAAATCTTCCTCAGGAAAAAAAAAAAGGGAAAACAAGGAATGTGGATCAGATTTTGGGTGAGAGGGCGAGCACAGGCTCCGGGGCTGAACCATCAGATCACGTGAGACAGGAAAGCTGCTGTGGGTGCCAGAAGCCTGTGGAAAGGGATTCTGAGGGGGAACCTGGGCCCCGTGGTGGAAGGGGCGTGAGTGATTATAAATGTTTGTCATGCATGTGCGAGGGGAGGGGTGAGACGCAGGCCAGGGATTCACTGTCTCTGGGGAAGGCACGGCTTAGACATTGCCCCAGAGAGGAGAAAGGCAGCAGACGACCTGAAAGTTCATTCTGCGTGAACTGGCTTTGCCCTTACCTTCCCATATATCGTTTCCTTTTGGATTTAGCTCCAAAACCAGGTCCCCGTGCTGTCTGTTCAACCACAGATGCCCTCGTCTCCAACAGAGGCCTCTTCCATTGGGCGGAGCCCGGCCTGGTTATGCCATAGCAGGCCAGCTTGTAGTCTTGGGAACCACAAAGAGCTGGGTTTGAATCCAGATTCTGCCACTTATTAGCTGTGTGGCCTCTGGCAAGATACTTGAGCTCTCTGTGCTTCAGTTTCCTCATCTGTGTAATGGGCACAGCAATACTCATGTTGCAGGATTTTAAAAGGGGTTTAATGAAATAATTTGTGTAAAGCATTTAGCATATTCCCTTATATATAAAAATTAGTCAATAAATAACTAATATGATTAGTCATTCCAAGTGGGAATGACAGTCCAGGGATGTGATTTCAAACAAAATTTTAGACTTTATCAGGTATGTCAGAGCTGGCTTAAGAGCTTAGAGATTCTACACATCTGGACTAAGTTTCCTCTCATAGGATATTCAGAAAAATTCTATATTGACAATGTATATCTGTTAAGTTCAAATGGCTTCTTTCCAATTGGTTGCCACATTCTGGACGCCTTGGTCGAAAAGGCGCATTTCTCCTCGTTGTTGGGGTGCCCGCTCTGCCCGCCACGTGGACACCACCCCGTGGGGGACTCAGCCCCGGGTGGCGACCATGTGAGACCGGGCGTGGCGGCCCGCGGAGCCCGGGTGAGCGGCAGTGTCGGGCCGCCTGTGCTCTGCCCCGCAGGTGGACGCGGCGGTGGCGGCGGCCAGGGCGGCCTTCCCGGGCTGGGCGGCGCGCGGCCCCCAGGAGCGCTCGCGGGCGCTGCAGCGGCTGGCGGACCTGCTGGAGGAGGCGCTGGAGGAGCTCGCGCGGGCGGAGTCCAGGGACCAAGGTGAGGCCGCCCCGCCGGCCGCCGGGTCTGCTCTGCGCTCCGCGGAGCCGGGCTGCGGCGCGCCTGCCTCCTGCTAGCGCCCCGGGGACAGCGCCAGACGCCGCTCGGACGCGGGGGGTCCCGCCCAGTCCCGTTGGTCACGCGATCTCTGGCCTCCGCGCCGGAGTGGGTGGCACTCAGCACACCGGCCCCCGTTCCCCACCTGGGGCCGTCAGGAGCCCGCGCGTGCGCTTCTCCCGCAGCGGCAGAGCTGGGGGCAGAACCGCCCCTGCCCCTCAAGGCGGGGCCCGCACCTGGCGCGCCTCTGCCTCATTCTGGCCTGGCGGCCGGAGCCAGCCACGGCTGACCCCACACTCAAGGGGCGGGGAAATAAGAACCCTGTGTCCGTCGGGTGGGAGGAACTGCGAACATGTATGGCAACGGGCACGGCTATGCGGAGAGAGGGGGGATGGGGCTGGTCACGCAGTCCCCCACCCATTCTGAGTAGAGAACCTCAAAGCAGAGCTATTTGAAGAGCAGTCACACGGTCACGTTATGTAGAAAGATATCTGGTATGTCAGTCTCTGGTCCACTCCCAACACAACTTCCCAATCTGTTAACTCCTGCCCAGACATCTGGGTCATGGAGTAAGTGCCTGTAAATCTTTGCAAGAATACCTGTTAGGAAAAGCCAGGATCTTTTAAAATTACATGCATGCTGTAAACCGGCCTCAAGTCAGGACTTGAGGACTCCAGGCGCTCACAAGAAAACGCTTCCTGCTGGGGCCCCTGACCTGCAGTCTCTCTGCGTCGCGGAAGATAACAAGGAACAGCCCAGGGAAGCTCAGCTCTCTCTTCCTGCTCAATCCTGGATCTAGGATGTGCAGGCGGCACGTGATGGGTGAGCAGGGCCCGTCAGTGGTCCTGCCACATGTCCCTCTGAACTCCCACATGACTCCACCGTGTGTTGGGGACATTTAATATACGTCACGTGTTTATCAAAGTGGTTTTTTTGTGCTGTGCAGAGACAGCTGTCTCAACAGCCATTATTCCAACCCCTCTGTAGCATTTGCAAAGCTCGGTGATTTTGAGTTGGAAGAGCTGGTCTGGGTGAAGTGCTAGCCTCTGGCGAATTTATATAAATTATTCAGTTCACAAGCAAAGATTATTTGGCTCAACTTTCACGGGCCTCTGCCTCATCCTATAACCTCGTACCGAATTATTTCATAATTTTATCAAACCACAATCAATGCTCTGTGCGGTCAAGGAATGCCCGTCCAGGGCTGGAGGACCGAGGCTGCGTGGTGTGGGTTGGGATACGGGTGTGATGAGTGTCTCCACTGTCCACGGGGAGGTACACTCACAGGGTCTCTGTCGTTGGCTTCCTACAGGGAAAACCATAACCCTGGCGAGAACCATGGACATCCCCCGGGCTGTGCAGAACTTCCGGTTCTTTGCCTCCTCCATCCTGCACCACACGTCAGAGTGCACGCAGATGGACCACGCGGGCTGTCTGCACTACACCGTGCGGGCGCCCGTGGGCATCGGTAGGTGCTGTCAGTGAGAGCCTGGACCACGGTGGCACAGAGGGATACTCGGTCACTTCTGTAGACTTGATCTAAAGGAACAGATCAGGGAAAAGGAAGGAGCTGATTTCTTCTGCTTTGGCTGTAAAAATCTGTTTCTAGTTTATTTTCTTTGTGTCAAATTCCCTACTTATTCCTGGAACCTTGTTTGTGGGAAATCACAGGGAAAAGAATGATGCTGAGAGCAAATTCACAAACTAGGATTTTTTCCCTTGTAATTAAAAAAAAAAGAGTCTATTTCCAGAGTGTGGGGGTTAAGAGCATGGATTTTGGATATGTGTGGGCAAGTTATATAACCTTTCTGAGCTGCAGTATCCTCCTCTGAAAAACTGGGAGAGTAGTTCAATTTTATCTTTAAGTATTTTTATGTGCATTAAATAAATTAACAAGTGTACGGCACTTAGGACAGCCCAGGCACGTAGTGAATAAGTCTTGACTCAATTATCGACTCCCTTCCTTCCTGCCTTTGCTTCCTGCCCCTTAGAGGACAAATAGATGTCCGCAATGACTCAAAACATCCACCAGATGTCACTGTTTCCTGTGAGAGAAAAACTCGAAGCCGTGATAATTTACTAGCTACATTTTATGACAGGATAAAAGAATATAAGTTAAAAGGAAAGAAAATGGGACATTTTACCACATTCCCTTCGGAAATGGTATTTTCAAGGCGTTATGAAAAGCTCAAAACTCCTTCTAAGAAGTATGCTAATACATCATGCTGCAAAAATATTCTGTTTTCAATGGGGAATTTAATCATATAAAATATGTTTACTTTCACAGCACAGGCCTGAGGGCAGAGTATAAAAGAGCGTGAATCCATTTACTTATTCACAAGGTAGACTCATTTTTGCGTGTCCCAGGGTCGGAAGCCGGGGCGGTTTCAGAGCATCACACGGAGACGCTGTAGATGTTGGTTCTGTGATTTGCCCAGCAAACCTGTCCGCTCAGGACACAGGGGAGAACCTAGAGAGCAGTTTTTATTAAAAAACACTATAAAATGGATTTCATCATCTTGGAAACTATATACTCTCATTTTACAAATAATTCTAAAAAGCTTGAGATTTTATGTCTCGAATCACAGCAGACGAGAAACAGAGATGGAGAAATTTTGAAGAAACGGTAGCTGGACAGTTTAATGATGAGGGGGGAGAGGTTTAAACAAGCGTACAGATCAGCCTATAAATGTCACCACTGATCACATTCCATAACAGTTGAGTGACAGGTGACAGCCTTTTAGCCCAGGAACTTATATTGCTGTTGTTCCTAAACATCATTATAAGTCATCGAGAAAAGAGTAAGCCATATTGACTACAGTTTTTAAAGTTACAGTTTCTTGTAATACATTTTAGAATTATTTCCCTGAAGCTGGCTACAAAGAAGCAAAGTTTGGGGTTTCGAAGAGTAAGCTTAAGTTTGATGTAGCGTGAGGAGTGCCCTGTGAACAAACCCCGACCGGCTGCTGTGCGGTGAGGGCGTGCCATCGTCGGCAATGCTCTGTTCTCCTCTGTCAGCTGGTCTGATCAGCCCCTGGAACTTGCCGCTCTACCTGCTGACCTGGAAGATCGCTCCCGCCATCGCTGCCGGCAATACGGTGATAGCCAAGCCCAGCGAGCTGACCTCCGTGACCGCGTGGATGATGTGCAAACTCCTGGGGAAAGCAGGTCGTTCGGCGTTGGGGTTGGGGAGGCACAGGGTTGGCTCTGGGGTCGTCCGTTTTGTAGGCTTCAGCCACCTTAGGGTCACTGACATATGAAAAGTTATTTTGGAGAGAAATCTGCTCAGCAGCAAACAGATTCCAGCGACATCTTTGGTTTTGTCTCCCTGGCCCTTTTCTGAGAAATCCCCTTCCCCTGCAGGGCTCTCTCAACTGCTTCCTCTCTTGGGCCCCAGTGGGGCTTCTGCAGGACAGCTCCTCCCCGGCAGTGGGGGTGGGGGGCGTCCGCCTGCAGTACAGTGAGCACCCCACATAATACAGCGACAGGCTAAGGAGCCCGTCAAACGGGACCCCAGCTGCTCCAGGGCGTCCTCAATCGCCATTTACGTCTTAGGTTTGAACCACAGGTTAACCTTCATGAAAACACTATCTCTGGGTACTTCCCCGGGTGGTATAATTATAGAATTCCTGATGGGAACAGCCTATTTTCAAGAGATCTGAGTACACACCGCTCAGTGCCCCCTGCATTTGGTGCCACTCCTGGGCCCTGCTTTAACATGGCTCTTGGTCCCCTTTCTGCTCATCGCTTATGGCCACGCTCGGGGGCGTTCCTGCTTTAGTTCTGGGTGTCCAGCCTGACACTGCCCCGGGGGGAAGGGAACAGGCAGGAGGCCCTAGCTTGTAACCCCAGGAAAGCCCCTTGCTGTCAGGTCCCCCAGTCGTGTCTCCGCAGGGCCTGGGCAGGAGTGACAGTGGCTGGTGGGACAGGCTGTCTTTGTGGCTCTGTCGTCTCCACTGTGCTTGCTTCCTATGGGCCCACAGTGACGGTCCTGTGGGCTCACCCGGATCCACAGAGCGGGCAGCTGGTGAGAGCCCGTCTCTTCTCTCCTGAACTCCTTTCCCCTTGAAGCAAAAAAACCACGAGCTTCCAGGAAAGCTGCGCCAGTTCTTACTCCAGGATTTAGACGACAGGTGAAACGGAGCCTGTTTAGGGAAGAGCACTGGGCCTCATGGCCCTAGAGGAGCTGCCCATTTCCCTCGAATCCTAGAGGAACGAGGTCTCCAGCCCAGGTCTTTGGGGTGACATCTGTGGATGCCCTAGGCCTCTGAGGGTGTGTGATATGAACATGCTGCCTCTCTGCGTCCCAGCATGCGTCATCCCTCTCTTATAAAAGGGACCACTGCTAATCCCCTTCTTTGCAAAATTGAATCTCTAGTGTCTGCAACGGTCCAAGGCATTTCTGCCTGTTGATTGCAGGTGCCCTGGAGTGGGACAGAAGTGGGGCCTACACTCTGCTTTGATTCTGTGTTGGGGAGGGTGCAAGTGGAGGTGGGGAGGGAGCAGGGGGAGGTGGGGAGGGAGCCACAGAGCCTACTTCCAGAGGCCACTCTCTCCTAGAATCAACCACATCTCAATGTATGAGGATTTCTCTTTCCTCTCCACTCTCCCTTTTCACATGCCCCAGCCCCTGGTCTGCATGAGAGTTTTATGTTTTCCTTTATTTGCACAGCATTGATCTTATTTCTTGTGAATGAATAAGCTTGTTATACCAAGAGGGTCCTTCCCTCCATCCCTCTCAAGGTGACCAGGCTAAGGCTCTGGCTCTAAGGGAAGATGTTCTGGATGATAATGGATCTTCAATATGAAATTATTATTTACACTTTAAAAGCGTATTATTGAAGAGATAGTTTTAACCCAAGAGTGTATGTTTATTTGGAGGAGAGAATGTCTGACCTGGAATAAGGGAGAGATGCTAGGAGCAGGGAAGTAGTTCAGAGACTTTGCCCCCTGGAGGATTCCTCTGCCGGCCATAGTTCAAGCCTGAAGAAATAGAGGGAATTAACTCAGCCACCTCCAGGCAAACCCTGAGAGCTTCCTGGATGAAACACAACTGCACGTAGATGTTCTCTCTGGACACTTCAAGCTTCCCAAAGTCAAGAACTAGTTCTGACTTGGATAATGTGCACTCAGCATTCATTCATTCGTTTACTTAACAATTGTTTATTAACCTGCTATGACCATTTTCGAGGCCTAATTTGTTGCTATTTAACCTCCCTTGCCCTCAGTTTTCTCATTGGTGAAGCAAGGGTCATAACACTGCCCATCTCACAGAGTTGTCTGGAGATCTGAGGGTGTGAATCTCCTACAGCGATGACTGGCCTGCAGGGAGCACCCAGAGAATGTGAGCACTTGCTGATGTTAATTCTGTATGGCAAACGAGGCCGTGACACAGGCGGTATGGTGGAGAGCAAACACCAGACACCATTTCTGCCTTCACTGGTGGACCTCCCAGTGGTCACAGGCAGTAAACAAGCAAGTCCGTAAGGCACATAAAGAAACACGTACAGATATAGGGCAGGAGGGTGCTGTGAGAGAAAAGACTGGGATACCTATTTTGGGGTGTCCCGGGTACTGTAAGTCAGTCCTAGAGTGTAATGGTGCACCCACACCATGGGACACAGGACCTCTGACTCAAAACTCCCCTCCCAGGGGAGCCCTCCCTCACTGCCCTGGGCTGGGATGGATAGTCTCTGGCTTCTGCAGCGTTTACGCTCCCCTCCACTGAACACTGTCACACTGAATTGTGACTCCTGGAGGCCAGCCCTGAGCAGGGCTCTCCTCCCCGCTAGGCTTGACCTGCCTGAGGATATCTCTGCAGCCTCAGCCCCTGAGGCCTAGTCAGTATTATGGAGTGAATTATCTAGAATGTTCTATCCCCCATTTCTCCAGGACAAAGCACCCCAAGAAATCCTGCCTAGAGCTTACTCTAGCAGAGGTGACACTGTTGTGTTTGCTTTGTTGTTAAACTAGAGGCGGCTGGAAAGGTTCATTCCCACCCCATTCAAGCCACTGGGCTTTCAAGGAGAATCTCCACGCATCCGAGGAGGATTCCTGTAACTGACACTGTTCCCCTCCAGGTGTTCCACCAGGTGTGGTAAATATTGTGTTTGGAACGGGGCCCAGGGTAGGCGAGGCCCTGGTGTCCCATCCGGAAGTGCCTCTCATCTCCTTCACTGGGAGCCAGCCTACAGCCGAGCGCATCATGCAGCTGAGTGCTCCTCACTGCAAGAAGCTCTCCCTGGAGTTGGGGGGCAAGAATCCTGCCATCATCTTTGAGGATGCCAACCTGGAGGAGTGTGTTCCAACAACTGTCAGGTCCAGCTTTGCCAACCAGGTATGTCCTCTGGAGTTGGTTTTTTTAACTCTTTGGCCTTGTCAGCCTGGATCTGTTTCATCACAGTGCAAAGCCAGGAGTGAGCAGGTCAATCCAGGGCTGTTTCAGTGAAAGGAGAATCGTTGCACTGTGTTATTCCGCTGACTATCTGATCAATCTCAGTGTCAATTGGGGGCCTTTCAGAGTCACAGCTTCTGTTTGACAAGCTTCTCTTCTTTTTTGAGTCACACAACTTTTATCAGGTACCAGCCATGGGCAAAATGAGTTTTTGCTTCTCCAAGTTTCTCCTTCCCTTTATTCAGAGTTGCCTCCAGTCTCTTCTTGCTGTCTAAATGTCTTATCTCCAGTAACCTTACTCTCCCCAAAAAGCATCCTAAATGCATTCACACACGTAGGAATAAACACCTGAACAGTCTAGAGCAGGTTTCTTATGTTGGGGTCATGGATGAGCTTCAGGGCCACTTTGCATGTCCTGAAGTTGTGTAACAGATGTTTTTCTGGGGATTTCATCAGATTCTTCAAGGCCCTGGTACCCCAAAGGGTTAAGAATCCTGGATCAGATAGACTAGGCTGTAGTCTTTGTGAAGAGGGCAGCTGGGCCTGCTTTTGTGTAATGCCTAGGATGATGATTTTTCTCCAAAAGGTGTGCTTTTAAAAAATTTTAGCAGACAACAAAGACTTAAGCCAAAGAGTTAGAACTTCCATAGAAGGAAAGATGAATGGAATGAGATTGATCTTTATTTACTTAACTTGGATAAGTTGCATAACCTTTTAAACCTTTATTTCTTTACCTGTAAAATAGTGGAAGCAAAAATAAAGCCTTCCAATAAGGTTTTTGTGAGCGTAGAATGAAAAACATTCTTTACAATGATTATTTTCATGATTATAATTGTAATGATTTTTCTAACTGTATTTCCTAGAGAAAGTGGCTTAGAAATAGAGTTTCTGGATCAATAGACTCAAGGCAATTTTATGGTACAACTAATTTAATTGTTAAATATCAAAGTGAACAATTAAATCAAGTGTTTTGATGGCTTGGTGACGACAAGAGAGGGGCAAACTGGGCTGAGAAACTGTGCTGAGAGGACTAGTTGAACTCTGTATTGAAGTAAATGAATTCTGAGCGCAGGGATGGACTGCAGGCTTCTTGACGACCAGAACTGTGCAAGGATTTGAGATCATCTAGAGAGCCTTCCTCTTGGCGTATTTTAAAATGCCAGTGGGAAAGAGGAATGAACCTCACTGACTGGCTAATCCAAGACAACAGATGAATTTTAGGCAAAATAAATAAGCTGATTTCTTTTTCCTTCGCTAGGTGGTGAGTTCCATCTAGTGCAGACTTCTTCCTTAACTGAACATAATTGGCTTTTTTGAAGCATCTCCGTCGTGCCTGGTCTCCTTTGGCTCAGAGATGCTGTGCAACACGGAAGAAACGAACGTGGACTTCAGCATCATGCAGACCATGGTTCCTGTGCCGTGTGGCCTTGGGCTTGTATTTGCTCAAGACTCCATTTCCTGATTGTAAACTGGGGAAGCTAATACACCACTGAATTATCATGAGGAAAGCATGCAGGATGATGCTTGGTATACAGCAGGCACTCAATAAATGACATTGTCCTTTTCCCTTTTCCTCTAAAGTCGTCCTCCTAGAGATCCTGGTATCGCCTATGCCTTCCTGGCACCGAGTAACTGGGAAACTCGGTAAAACTCTCCAGTGTCTTTACCAAGCCCTGTCTCCCCGTGTGGCACAGGGCACTTGTGTGTTCAGAGATGGCCCAAGCCACACATGCGGATGGTTCTGACAGGGATCCTGGGTTGCAGAAAGAATTTATTATTTCAAAACATTGACTGTTTAATTTGGACAATGACTGCTGTACAAATATCAAAATAATTAGAAGCATTCTGTTTCTTAGGATTGTTGTGAAGATCAAATATGAATGTGATGAAAGCAGTTATTTCTGCACATATGTACTTAGCACACATACACAATGCTTTGACATGTCCGGAATGTGGTTTATGAACTATTACATGCGATACTCACATGATAGTAAGCACGACTTTTCACTCAGGAACCTGTTAGCTCCTCTCCCTGCAACACCGGTGTCTCTGCATGTCTGTTAGGCATCTGAATCTTAACCTCTTCATTTCCCTCCCTCTCCTTTCCCTGCAATACTGCTCCCTACCCTGCCTTGTGTTTGCCTTTCCAGGGAAGAACCATCGCCCGCTCTGCGGCTCAAAAATCCAGGACTCATCCTTGTTCTTCTCTTTTCCTTAAGCCCCACTAATCCATCAAGTCCTGTTGGTTTCTGCTTTAAAATACATCCTGAATCCTGTCACTTCTGTGGAGCATCTATGCTGGTGTCCTTACACTTCCAGGGTCCTGTGCCCCTTTAAAAGTCTGTCGACCTTGGTGGACTCCTCTCTCTCATCTCCAGGCACTGCCCTGGTCCAGGTTCCTCCACTTATCTGGACTTCCAGAATGCTCTCTTAAGTCTCTCCTGTTCCATCTCATTCCCTTCCATTCTGTTCTCCACACGGCTGCCAGAACGATCGTTTAAAAATGTAAACCTGATCACATCGCTCTGATGCTAAAGCCTGCAGTGGTCTTTTCATGATACTGAGAATAGAATATGCGCTCCTCGTGAGCCTGTGAGACTCTGCATGATGTTGCCTTGCCTCCTGCCTTGTCTCCTTCCCCCGCCCCGTCCCTGCCTCCACTCCCACCTCAGCCCCACTCACCTTCTTGCCTTCCCTCCATGCTCCCAGCTCTTTCCTGCAGCAGGTCCTCTGCACCTACTGCTGAGAGTTCCCTTCCTCCAGGTCTTCGCTCATGCAGCTCCTTCACATCAATCGAGTGTGGACTCAGATGTCCCCTCTTCACGGTGCCGTCCAGGACTCCAGTAACAGGGAGTGAAAGCTGCCCCTCCCTTTGTTTCTATTCCGTCCTCTGCTTAATTTCCTTGTGTTGCTTTGGTCATGACCTGAAGTTATATTATTTATTGAACTTATTTACTTGTGCTATTTATTATCTGTCTTCCTCACAAGAGTGTGTGTTCCACGTGATGGGGACTCCGTCTTCCTTACCACCGTCTCCCATTGACTAGACTTAGATACATGGCAGGTGCTCAGAACACGGGGTGATCTCTCCGTGAAGGAGTGTGTCCTCCAGTCCTGTCATTGTAATCATGTGTCATTCTTGGCAGGGTGAAATCTGCCTCTCTACCAGCAGGATCTTTGTCCAGAAGAGCATCTACAGTGAATTTTTAAAGAAGTTTGTAGAAGCTACCAGAATGTGGAAAGTTGGCATTCCCTCCGATCCATCGGCCAGCATGGGAGCTCTGATAAGTAAAGCTCATTTGGAGAAAGTAAGTCAGTCTCTGCAGTAAGTAGGGTACAGAAAGAGTTCTGATTCAGAGAGAGCCTCAGTACCAGGCATGGCACACATCCATGCTTTGAAATGTTGATAATTATCACTCTATTTTTGAAAAATTATGACCTGTGGGAAATTGTCTCTGGATACGGAGTCTAAAAATGTTAGATATAAATACACAAATGTCGTCCAGGTTAGAGCAGCATCTACATGAAATGAATGAACTTCAGAAGTCAACATGGAGGTACCACCGAGGAAGGCAAATTTCAAAACGTAAAGGTCAGCTGATAAGAATGATGTGGACTAAGGGTGGCAGGACTTTCTGTAGATAAATGTTCCCAGTGGAGAGGGTTTTGCCTTGAGCTTACAGCAGATGGGACTCCAGAAGTGCCAGCATACACAATCCGAATTCTGTGGTCTGTAGTTGGTGGGGGGACTAGCGGTGGCCTATGTCGGAGAGGCCGTTGATGGTCTCTGGGTGGTTTATGAAATTTAGGTCTTTAATGTCATTTTAATTTATTACCCGACATGACTCCCAAAATAAGTCATAGAATTTTGGAACTAGAAGGACCTTGTTTTCAGCTGCAGTAACTACAGCCCACCAAGAGAAATATGCCCCCATCAGTTAGCCAGTGAGGGACAGAGCCTTTACTAAAGTTTGGACAAATCTCAGACCCTGCACACATTTGGAAGATTTTCTGTATTTTAACCTTGACCTTCAAATATTGTGAGGCACAGACACTGGTAGGTGGGAAAGTGTAGTATCTTGATGGTTCTCATCTTACTTCTTCTGTTTTCTCAGTGAAATAGGAAGGAGGGTGAGGAGGGGGAAGGTGTGGAGGGTTTCAGGAGGGAGGAGAAGGTGTGCTAGTCTCCCAGGAGGCCAGGAGAGAGAATGGCCTCAGAAATGAGTGTCGGCGCAGGGCAGCTCAGGTGCTCCCTTGAGGCTGAGGTCGTTTATTTACAGTGAGGCGGCCAACATGGCTGTGTTTTCTTGCAAGTCCACCTGCAAGATGGCAGACACAGAGGCAGCAGTCCCCAGAGTGCCCATGGGGACCCACGTTGTGGACGTCCCCACCCTTGGGGAGTGAGGCGTCACCAGGTGCGGGAGGCTCCCTTGTCCTCCTTCTTGTCTGGCTGTTCTGGGCACCAGGGCCCCTTGCCTACCCGCCCAAACATGCAGACAGCTGGTGGAAAACAACTTCAGCTCATTCCGGAATGTTCCCTGTGGAGCAAAAGTTAACTTCCCGGAAGCATCTCCCAGTGGGCTCACGCTGTGGTGCACTCTGATGTCCCCTTTGTAATGCCCCCCTCATCTGAAACCCAAAGTTCTCTCTGTATCGGCTCAGCAGGGAAACCACGTTTCTATCATGGGCCATAATGACCACGTAATTTACCCAACAGGGGGAGATAGATCAGTGAAGCAAGTGAAGTATTTGACATCTCTGTATCAGTTGAGCGATTTGTAGCCCCCTGAATGCGTACACATACACACACACACACACTGTATTTTGTGTGTGTGAGAAATTGTTGCCACACATTGACTCACATTGATAGCTATGGCTTTTCTCTGTCACACTCTGAGTATTTGTCCCTTTTGAACAGCATAGTGAACTTGGCCACATACAGGTTCACCAGGTGTCAATGCATTGTGATTCCTGTGGGCTTTAATACCATATATTTTTAAAAATTATTTTATTGAGGTCATATTGGCTTATGACATTGTGTAAATTTCAGGTGTACGTTATCACATATCAGTTTCTGTATAGACTGCATTGTGTTCACCACCGATAGTCTAGTTTTTTATCCGTCATCATATGTGTGTGTCCCTTTACCCCTTTTGCCCCCCCCACCCCTTACTGCCATATTTTTGATGCTTAGCATGTCCCTCTTGCCCACAGGGACCTCTCTCTGGCCTGTGCCCTGTCCTGGGCCCACCGCAGGCCCTCCTGTGGGCATCTCTGCTCTCTGACAACAAGCGGCCTCAGGCCGTCTGAGTTGCTCCGCCCCGTATGGGCAGTAGGACCTCTCTCTACTGAGCCTGGTTCCTTGCGGTGGAAAAGAGCAGTCAAGGCCTGCAGGTGCCCATTAGATGATGCCCCATGACGACGAGAAGTAGCCCAATGATGTCCAAGAGGAGGCGACTTAAAACCCGGCTGTGCTGAGCTCACACGTTGCCCTTGTGAGCGGGTCCTGCGTCCGTGCTGATTTTTCCCGATCAGCCACGTTACTTTTCAAACCTTGCTCTAGTATCCGGGTCATGTCATCACTGGCTGTGATGTGTCACGTTACGTGTCGTCGTACCCCGTCTGCTCACAGTCAAGCCCAAGTCTTTAGAAAGACCCAGGAGACCGTCCCCCATTACCTCTGCGCCCTTCCCTCCCCCTGCTGCACTCTGGCCTCCTTGTTCCTCCTGGAAAATAGCGGGCCCGCTCCTTCCTCTTGGTCTTTGTTCTTGCTGCCCAGCCCACCTGGAAGGCTCCTCCTTCACATATTTGCTTGGCTTGGATCAGACGTCGCCGTCTGAACGAGGGCTTTCCTGCTTGCCCAACATCAAATCCCAGCCCCAGAGCTTCCTCTACGTCTTTGCTGCCTTATTTTTCTCCATCTGACATATAATATGTGTTATTTATTCCTTTATTGACTATATTCCCTTGACTAGAATGTCAGTTTTGTTCACTACTAGATCCTTAGATCCTAGAGAAGTGCCCGGGACAGAGTTGGTGCATAGAGTTCGTTGGCAAATGATTGGATTAACACTCCATCCTGTGGTCCAGGTGCAGTGTGACCCCCAAACTGAAGGTGTCCATTTTCCTTGAACTTTGAGCACAAGCCTGAAGCAGCTAGATCACCGACCCTTAGATCATAACAATGATAAAGGGACTGTGGACACATACAAGCCTTTGAGGTTTTGCTTAAGACTCTCCTTGAACTCACTGTCTTTCCGTTGGTTATTTCAGCTGATGCCATAGGCAGATTTAGTATTGAATTGTAGTTTCTTACAAATCTTTGGCTAAATATGGGTGTTCAGTACCTCAATATTATACAAATCCAACTTTTTAATTGCCAAGACTTTCAAAAAATATGCCCAGATTAATATCAAAATTCATTTGAGATTTTTACAGCATTTCTACAAATATGCACGTGGAGCGTTTTCTGCAGGTCCACATTCTCTCAACGTTCTTGCTCTCTCAAGAGCCAGCTTATAAAAAAGACACCAAAAATTTTCAATTATAACACATATAGTTGAAAATGCTGTATTCACGTTGTGCTCAGACACCCTCCAAATTGTCAAACTTTCTTTTTGTTTTTGTTTTTGGTGGTTCCCAGTAGTTTTAATTACCCCTAAAATGAACAGAGAATTTAGCAAGTTGCAATATCAGAGTTTTTTGGTATAAAATAGCCCAATGTTTCTCTAGAGGAAAATATACACCCTAAACTTTGCGTCTTTGAGTGTTTCCATGGAGAAGACCCAAATTGCCTTCTTTTCAGTAGGTTGGTGGCTGGGGACCAATGACAGTGATCCCCAGGCAGTCAGGGGCGTCCTGGTGGATCCCAGTGGCTTACCTGCTGCAGAGGGAGACTGTGTGGGAGGTAGGTGGGAGCCTGGGCCTCCTCGAGCATGGGCGTGCCCCCCAGCACTGCACACACGCAGGAGGAACGCCCCACCCCCTGGCCTGACTCCTTCTGCCAAAATCCAGCTCCCCATGTGGGTTTCGCCAAGCAAGCAAGTTCTCATCTGAGTCTGGACTAAGACATGTATGGAGAGCTTGGTTCCCCCTCACTCCCTCATTTGGCTGCGTTCAAGCTATGCACACAGGAAAGCAGGGACCTAGAGTGCTCGGCTGGGCTTGACCTCAGTGACTCCCTGGAAAAAGATCCATGTCAGAGCTCCTAATATTTTTCCAACTAATTTTCATCCCTTGCACCTCCCAAAGTAATAAATTTGCCTCAACTTAGCATGGATATTATCCCATCTTATAGACCATATTTTTACTACCCCATCTTTTCCTAAAGAAAGTGGAAATGGGAGAAGCTATCCTTTCCCATTATTTCCAGCATCGTAGCCGCAGGAGCTGTGGACCAAAGCCAAGATTCCTAATAGATCTAAACCACAGAGGATATTTGATTTTTTTAAGGCTGAAAACCCTGACAAGGTTGTAGGGGTGGTGTCAGCCTCTCTAACATCTCAGCCCAGGAATGCCATCTTTTACCAAACAGACTATGCCTGAAAGGCAAGCATCCATTTAACATGTTGGTTGTATTATCTTGATATCATTTCAATTCAGCATACTTAGGTTCCACGGGTCACTCTGAAAATGATGAAACTTACAGTTATCAATTTTGTCTGACCACATCCAAAAGCAAGCACATATTTAATATCTTTCAAACAGAAGTTTTTAAACCTCCCATATTTTTACCATCGTACATTTTCTATCTCAGTCAAATACTTTTTTTCAAAAAATAAACTTTCCATTTTGGGATAAACTAAGATTTATAGAAAAATCTCAGCGCTAACGCGGAGAGTTTCTATATCTACTCACCCGTTCCCCTTGTGTTAGCATCTTACATTCCCGTGGGGCAGTTGTCCACGCTAAGAAACCAATGCGAGCTCACGACTATTAACTAAACTACAGAATTTTCAATCAACTTCTCTGGATTTTCTACTTGATGCTTATAGAAAGTATCTTTCCAGCCACTTGCCCTGTGAAAATAAAATACAGCTAATTACTTTGCACTCATCTCAGAAGCTCCAAGATTCTACTGCTTCTAAGGGGAAAGGTTTTGTACACACACAGTTAGCTTTTATCATTGGCTGATTTCTTTTATTTTTATTTTTTCAGGGAAGAACAATAAAGACGGTATTTTTATTACCCCACCATGTATAAAACTGCTGGTCTCTGTGGGGTTTCCCTTGGTTTGTGGTCCTATGTGTTGGATCCCTCCCGCCTAGAGTAAGGCTCTCCCAGCTCTGCTCACATTCCCTCCCCCATGTAAAGCCTCAGAACTGTGCTGCTGAGGCTCAGAGGCCTCTGGACATCTGCCGTCCTCATGGCTCCACTCAGAGTGCATGTGCCCAGGTGCCAGGGGTCTCGGCTTCCCCCTCTGAGTCTCCCAGCAGGTGGACCCCTGACAGGGGGCTCTCAGCTCAGTTCCTGTGAGGACGCCCTTTGAGAGAGAGCTAATGGAAACAGCTAGGGTAGCATACGTGTGGCCTCTTCAGAGCGTGACTCTCCTCAGTCCGGTGTGCCACACCGTCCGGGATCAGGAAGGCAGTGGACGCGTCCCTCTGGTGGCACCTCTCCTCACCATCCACCAGAAAGCTCTAGGGCTGCGCACTGAGGAGGGGCTGGCTGCCGTCTCTGCACCCCGCTCTCCTCTTTCGCAGCTTGTCTGTGTCCCAAGTCAAGTGGAGTCTTTGTCTTCTGTGTGATTGTCACAACAGATGCCGATGCAGTGACACAAGAATCCAGTTAGAATATGTACAATTTGTTTTGTAACGGCAAAGGGCTCAGAAACGTAGAGATAACGCATGCTCTCAAGTGGACGTGTGACTTCCAGGTTCGCAGTGACGGCAGGGGACATACAGTGACCCGAGGTGATTCTATCCTCAAGGAGTGAAGGAAGGGCTCCCCTACCTATTTCACAGGGTTGCTTTTGTTTTTCTTTTTACCCTCCTGAATCCTTCCCCATCTGGCTGTCTGGAGCATCTGGCTACATGCCAGGCTTCCCAAAGATGCAGGTAACTAGAGAGAGAGAGAGAGAGTTCTTGAGTATATGTACAATGAGCACGGAGGAAGTTCCCGGGTACCTCCCTGAGTAGGGCCAGGCTTCAGGCCGAAGGAAGGTCCCCTTTCCCAGTTTCCTATTCTCTTTTGTCAGATTAAAAAACTCGACATGCAGAGTGGGGGCATCTCTGACATCTCCTGGCTCATCTTCATCTTCACCACCAGCAGCCACGGCAGCTAACATCCAGAAACTTCCTATAAGCAGGCATTATGCTAAATATTTTGCATATATTATTTTATTTAATCCTATGAATAAGTGGTAGTGTTAATCCTACTTTCAGGTGGGGAAACTGAGGCACAGAGCATTTAAAATCCCTCAGCTGGTAAGCAGAGGATCTGGGACTGGAACACAGGTGGGCTCCCCAGCCCTCTCTTCTAACCTCTGCGGTCTGATTTCATGGGCAAAGCTAAGTACGAACTATCCTCAGCTCTCTCCTCTCAAAAACAGTTTCATAATAACTCATTTTATAGCACATTACCAATCACACAGATTTTTTTTTTCCAAATTTTACTGAAAATCTCAGATTCTGAGCTGCTGGTATAGATGTCATTCTATCATCCAGAGAGACTTTCTCTAGAAAATAAGTTCAGTTTGGTGTGAGCCATCTTATACACTAAATATTTTGATAAGTTCACTACTTGCATACTGACACTTCCCTTCATGTTTTACCATCTGAAGAGCTTCTAAGAGACGATCACGTGATTCTGTTTAGCTGTGACAGCCTAATCCAGAACACCCATGCACCATTCAGGTCACTTACGGAGTCTTGGAGCTGTGCCCAGCAGGGGCCTCTGGGGACTGTCGCCTCCACGTCCCCTGCTCACGCGGGACGCCGCCTTTGGCATCTTTTGATTAATCTTCGTGGGTTTTTTCCGAAGGGGCAGGAGAGTAGGGGAAAGAGAAGTCCAGACCTGTTTCAATCTCTACCCACAAACCAGATTAGGCTTTTCTGGGAAGCCATGAGGTCACGGCGCATGTCAGGGGAGGAGGGGGAGTGAAGGGGGATATAGAGCTGTGCAAATGTTCTATTTGTAACAAGTCCTTGACTTCGTGGCGTGTTAAGTGCTCTACAAACTGAGGTGAAATTAATAATAAAATAACATTGCCTTTTTATTTTTACATGGCAGACATATAGCTCGGCATTGAATATAGTTCTGCAATGGAGTCCTGATCTAATGCTGGGGCAGGATGCTCAGATAGATAAATGACAAGTAGGGATCCAAAACATTATTTCAGAATTTACCCTGCCTCTGATGTGCTACTTTATTCTTGTTCTAAACTTTTAATTTTTGAGATGACTTTTCTACTTCTCCTGTGCTTTTTTTTTTTGTGAGGAAGATCAGCCCTGAGCTAACGTCTATTGCCAATCCTCCTCCTTTTTTCCCCAAAGCCCCAGTAGATAGGTGTATGTTATAGCTGCACATCCTTCCAGTTGCTGTATGTGGGACGCGGCCTCAGCATGGCCGGAGAAGTGGTGCCTCGGTCTGTGCCCAGGATCCGAACCCGGGCCGCCAGTAGCGGAGTGTGTGCACTTAACCGCTAAGCCACGGGGCCGGCCCTCTCCTATGCTTATAATACCTCTCAGGGGTAGAATAATGTATCATTGTGACTTCAACAACATTTTGATATGTAAATGTATATATCATTATTATAATGACTCATTTCTAGGACCATTGCTAATAAACGTCTGTCATTACCTCTGAGTCACTGGGCTAACATATAATATAATTTATTTCCCATTATAGTTAGCTATCCTATATTATCTAGATATATTTTCAGATTATAATCAGTAACGAGACTAGAAATTAGAAATTATTTATTCTGGAAGCTTAGCTATTGAAGGGCATGCTGGCCTTTAATTACATCTTATACACCATTCAACTTCCCATTTTCTGCAATGGACATACCCCCTGCCCCAAAAAGTGAGAAAATATTCTTTCTTGTATTTAACTCCTGAATATACCTGAGTATGAATTCTAGCTTTACTGTTTATGAGTTGCATGAACCATTTACCCTTCCTGAGGCTGAATTATATCATCAGCAAATAGAGGATAATAATACAGAGCTAGTAGGGTTTTGAGAGAATTAAGTGAGAATGTATGAAAAGCCTTATCCGAGTGCCTGGCACTTAGACATTAAATAAATTACTCCTTCCTCTTACGGACAAGGGCTGAATATCCAAGTGATGGTTAGAGCCCTCCTGCCCTCAGGCTTAGCAGCTGATAAGATAATCAACCTTAGATTTCTTAGCAATGACCTTACACATCTTTCCTGGATGTTTAAAAAATATTGAATTTTCTGCTGCTTTGCGTGAAGCCAAATGATAAGACGTTGCTAATCATGGCTTTTATCCGCCCAGGTCAGAAGATACGTCAAGATAGCCCGTACTGAGGGGGCCCGGATTCTGTGTGGTGAGGGAGTGGACCAGCTGAGTCTTCCCCCTGGGAATCAGGGGGGCTACTTCATGCTTCCCACAGTGATAACAGACATCAAGGACGACTCCTGCTGCATGAAGGAAGAGATATTTGGTCCAGTGACGTGTGTCGTCCCCTTTGATACCGAAGAGGAAGTGATTAAAAGAGCCAACAGCGTCAAATACGGGCTGGCAGCGACAGTGTGGTCAAGCAGCGTGGGGCGTGTCCACCGGGTGGCTAAGAAGTTGCAGTCAGGTTTGGTCTGGACCAACTGCTGGCTCATCAGAGAGCTGAACCTTCCTTTCGGGGGGATGAAGAGCTCTGGGTTAGGTAGAGAAGGAGCCAAGGACTCTTACGATTTTTTCACTGAAATCAAAACTATCACCATTAAACACTGACCTGGGCCAATGGAGAAGCTGTTGTGGGCAATGCCTGGCTGCAGAGAGTCAGTTGTCCAAAGTGGTGAATGGAAATACTGGCATAAATTCCAGCCACGTCTTGACTTGGCAGAAGGTGATCTCTGGCTTATCCTCAGTAGTTAGTATTTTTACCCACTGAGGAAGAGATGCTATTTTCAATGTTGAGTCAAGGAAGAGAAGACTTCTGACTAGGAAGGCACAAAAATAAAACCAAATAATCGTCAGGCCCCTCCTATGTGGTATCTTCATAGTATTTTTTTCATCATTTTTATTGAATTCTTGGGAATTCACAATCAGATTTTTTTCATTTGCAAGTATATAGAAAAAACATCTACAAAGCCAAAGAGAAACAAATCACCATAATTTCCTACCTTTGGGGAGATTGTTGAGATGGTCTCCTAGTCAATCAGCTATTAGCACGGTTAATTGGTATTGACTGTACCTCATTATGTGAGGGGGCCGTGAACGTCGACAGTAAACATTACATGGCATTTGTCAGAGAAGGAATATGTGGTAGGGCCCACAAAATATATCCGTACAAGGACAAAGAAAAATAAAATTACTACTGATTTTGGAACAAGAAGAGGAAATAGTTTAATCTGTTCCTACTGTGGAGTCTAATTAATTCCAATTCTTAGTATGTATATCTCATGAGACTTGCAACTTGCTGATCTTAAAACAATAAATGTTAAGCAATTTTAGCAACCAGCATGACATACACGTTCCTCTTGAATTGTCCTTTATTCTTCTTCATCCCCACCCTCTTAGGAGTATGCACTTTATACAAAGTAAGAAAGGGAGCTCTAGCATCATTTTTCTGGATCCTGCAATGATCAGAGGAGGAGACTGAGGTTTCCAGAGATTAAGTACGTGCTCAAGGTCACACGATTGGTGTGGGGAGAGGTAGGGTTTCAACCCAGGGCTCTCAGACCCCAAAGCCCCGATCTCTGGCCACTTCACAGTTGCCTTGGGTTGCGCTCCAGAAGGAGCTGAGTACTCCAGGTACGTACGGGTTGTGGAATATGTCCTGTTGGGTCTTCCCTTCTCCTCCACTCTCCTGCCCCGCTCCATTCAGCCATGCAGCCCAGGATCTCCTCCAGCACAGCCTTTCCATGCTGCCTGAAATGATCTGTATGCGTGTCTGACTCCCTGACTGGTTTCTCCCCTCTGAAGTCATGGTTCCCAGCACACCTGGCACATAGAAGGTGCTCAGAATGGTTTCTGGGAATGGAATGAGGCTTTCCTGGTGCTCTAGGGTATTTCTTTCATGGTATATGGCGGGGGGAGGGGGGCGGGTTGGGCCCTGGGGACAAAATAATCCTTATAATTTTGTGTAGGATTTTGGATATGTTGGCTTGTTCACAAAAGCTGAAACATATAAGCATCTTTGAGGTCAAGTGATGGCGTTGGATCATAGCTGGTCCCTAGCTTCTACCTCCCCTCCCCCCTCCCTTCCCCACCCACCCTCCTCCTCAGCTGAGGCCCCTTGACATTGATCAGTTAGGACCTAGGACCAATTCCGAGTGTCAGCAGAAGGAATTTCAGCAGCTCCAGTCTCTAAGAATCCACATCTTCGTTCTTGTAATTGGTCTGGCCCAAGCTCATCCTTACTTCTGAGACCTAAGCCACATCTTGATCCTGAATTCTGGCAAGTGACCCTCTGCTCCTGTGCCTGAAGACCCATCTCCCGTCCACCTGTTTTCTGCCGGAGAGACTGTGCTCTCCAGGACTTGGAGCCAGCCCTGCTCCTGTTCCTTCTTGTCCAGGCTCTGTCTCTTGCCCTGTGGAGGGGTCTGCTTCCTGCTGACAGACACTCTGGATGCCGCTTGCTTGCTTCTGTGTCTCTTTGATCTCTAGAAGCTCCTCTGGCAGTCTCATTGATGCACGTTTGACTGAAGGCTGGTCGCCCCCACCCAACACTCTCAGTTTCCAGCCGTTAAAACCAGTGGCTGTAATGTGTCAGCACCCCTGGTGGACCTTTCCTCATTTGCTCTGCCCCATCCAAGTGGGTGAGTTTAGTTCCAAGACCTTCCCCCTCCCAGGCCATCCCGTACTGTCTCAGGCCCCACGTCAGCTAAGGGTGCCATTGAGTCTATGCTGACACCATGACAGAGTCCCACCAGAGTGAGCCCAGAGGCTGCGGGCTGCGGGGGCTTACCACGCTGTGCTCGGATGACAGTCAGGTGGGCAGTCATGAGGGTTTCAATTCTGTTTGTGCAGTTGTATTTCTAAGCTAGATGATGGGCACTTGGGTGTTTACGCTGTTTCATAAGTAGGAAATACTCACATACCCCAAGGGGAAAGTGCATAACAGTGAGGGACAGCCTGAAGCATGCCCGGGCGAGAGCTGAGAGCTCGTGGACCAGCCCTCCTGGCAGAGCCCCAGAGGGTCCAGGCTGGAGGCTGCAGGAGTGGAGAGCAGGAGCTGAAGGGGTGGGAATAAGGATGCTTGAGGAGCCACTCTTCTCAGACTTTGATGTGCTTCTGAGTCACCAAGGACTCTTGTTAAAATGCAGATTCAGATTTAGGGATCTAGGGAGGGGCCTGAGTGCACCTCAAGTGTCGAGGAATTAGAAGATACTTTGCAAAGCCCCTGGCCCGGATGCATCCTCCCCACCTCCCAGGTCCGGGGAGCAGCTGGTAGAGCCTTTGTTCCTCCAAGAGACAAAGGAGGTGCTCGAACAGCAGAGGAGCAGTCCGGCCTGGGAAGGCCTCCCTGTGGTTGTTGGCACGAAGCCTGAGGTAACTCAGGGCCTTCACGGGCAACCTGGAGGAGGCGAAGGAAAGGCAGCTACCCCAGGAGGGACGTCCACTGAGGAATTTCTCCTCCTGAGGCAGAGTCCTCCTCACTGGACAGTTATGAGGGTATGAGCTGAACTGTCCACGTATCCCAAAAAGAAGCCTCCGACCCCCTCACACACAGAAATGTACAGTCAGTACACCCCCATCCAGTGATGGGTCTTATGGGTCAACTCTTCTTCCAAATCGCAAAAAATAACTTTGCCAACTACCTATAATAATCAACCAGTATGCTTTTTATTAAAACATATCACTGATCAATCAAGGATCACCAAATATTTGTAAAAGAGAAGTACCAAGATGTGTGAAAGAGCAGCTAACCACGAGAGAGACGGATAAAAGAAAGAGACAACATTAACAATTGAATCCGTCTGCTCAGAGAGATTTGAGAGGGTAGTCGTTCGTATAGAAGAATAGGCTGCCATGAAAAGGAGCAAGCACTGACCATGAAAGAGGCCCAGAAAACTTAGACCTTGGCTCCCCAGTCCCTTCTCTGTGTGGCTCCTGCAGGAGGCTGAGCTGAGCCCACACACTGGAGACACAGAGCTGAGGGAGCAGATGGAAGAGGGAAAGTTGGCAGGTGTGGAGGATGAGAATGACCCAAAGAAGAGTCAGGTCCTGGTGGGGCAGGTGGTTGCCAAAGTGAGTGAGAATAAGGACAAGTTGAGTTCATAAAAATCAAGGGAAACTGAGGAATGCGGACAGCACCATCCACTCCTCAAGGAGTAGCCGGTGCGTGAGCAGTGAGGATGGGGCGAGTAACTCACCCCACCGGGAACCTGTGCACCTGCCAAGGAGACAGAAGGATGGACCAGGGGTGGTGTCTACTGCTGGGAAGCACCCATTCCAAGAGGGGGAGATGCGACCATGAGGCTCTGCCCCAGACCCCCAGCCTCGACCTGGAGCTGTCCTCCCAGTGGACGCCCTCCCAGTAAGTGCGGGCTTAGAGGGATAAGTGATGTTTGGAGATGTCCATCCTTACCTTAAACAGTTCCCCCCTCAGGTCAGGAGGGGCCAGGGTAAGGGTTCCCTTGCATCTGAAGCGGTAATACTGATATTCTTCTGCATTTATGGTTGAGAAAGTCTTATACACAATATCTCTTAAGTATTTGTTGAATAACTAATTTTCCTTATACTGTGTTAAAGACTTGGAGTTCAGATAACAAGATTTCCCAGAGAAATCAAGCAGTGAGAGGAAGAAGACAAACAGTTTCCACAAAATGTGGTAGCTCTCCTATACTGAGGGGCTGTGGCAACCCAGAGGATGAGAGGGTAGCCGAGGACATCTCTTACTAATGACAGGGTGAACCATTGAGAGGAGTCCCTGAGGACAGTCCATCTTCATCAGACCTCCCCACAGGAGAGTGTCTTAGGGAGTGGAGAAAGTAAGGCAGGTCCTCTCTAAGGAAGGGGATCTGCTACGTCCTGGGAGAAAGCAGAGCATCCCTGACAGGACATTTGGGACGGGAACGTGGTTGAGATGATTGGAGGTTTACAACCACTTTTATTCGATCAGTGAATGAACGTCACTGAGAGCCTCCTCAGTGCTTGACTCAGTACTAGGAGCCAGGAATGCAGGAACAAATAAGATACTATCTCAACTTTCACAGGGTGTTCAGTCTAGTAACCAGGACGTCGTGAGAAGTGTAGTGGTGGAAGGTCATTGGAGGAAGTGGCCAGTCTGCCCAGGGATGACCTCAGTGGTTGGCCTGGTCCCCCTTCTGTTTTTTCCAACAGCTGGATGAGCTGTCCTGGCCCAATGACGTTGGACTTCAGTCAGATTTCAGCCTCTCAGGATGTAACCAACACCGGGGCTCCATGTGGACACAAAGTGGGCAGCACCGCCAAGGTCTCCGGAGGAGACGGCTGACGTCAGTAGTGCCTGCCTGTGTCCTGGCCAGCTGGAGAAGCATAGGGGCAGGTTTAATATGTCTGATAGGCCCGTCCCTGCCATAGGGACCAGTGAGGATCTGTCTTCTCTCCGATGAGTGAAATGCTTTCCGGACTTCAAGATTCTCTCCCCACATCAAAAATAATCTAAATATCAACCATATTCCAAGAATTTTAGAACTTGGTATTTTATCTTCAAATTTTAGATCAAATAACTAAAGTAAAAAAGAAGCAAAACAACTTACAAGTTTGCTGTGAAAATGTAGGGGGATCTGGGACGAAAATTCTGGCTTTCTGATATTCAAGTGGTTGATAAACCCAATGACTTTTGTTCTCTTAGAAACAGAATGAACTAACACTCCCCGCATCACTCCTCTATTCACCCTATCAAGCTCTATAAAATGTAACATCTCTGCTCACCCAGAGAACTTGGATTCTAAATTAGTTGAGCTCCATGGATGCATTTACTGAGCCCTATGGGTTAAGCGTTGTGCTAATTACACTGGGGGATATGGAGGAAGGGTATACATTCCTCACTGAAGAGAGCTGAAAGATGTCTGTTCCCAGCTCAGCCTGGGTTTCCTGTAGGTGACAACATCAATAGTGGACACCAGTAGTCTCATCTTGGTGAAGGGAAGATGATAATGATGAGTGAAGACAGCGCCTGGCTTTCTACCTCCTGAAAGGTCAGGTCAAGAGGCATCTGGAGAATCTCCTCCAGAGAGTGTCCCAGCTGCCAGCTGTCAGAGTTGAGTGTCACAAATTCTTGGCATGTGCCCCTCCCTGTGTTTCATTTCACAGATCCTATGTGGATAGAGCAAAATCAAGAGAAAAAGCAGACGGATGGACTAGAAAAGACTGAATGATATGTGGTTGTGCAATGAATCTCAAAAACGCTAAGGTCCCCCTCAGAAAGTGAGGTTTTAGGGACCACAATGCATGGGTGGGGGTCAGTGTCATGTAGTGAGAGAGGACTCATGGCATGTAGGAGCACCTAATGACTTGTGAAGACAACACATTCCCCAGGTGACCCAAAAGATGGCCCTACATACCAAAAAGAGAGCCACTCACTTCCATTGATCTCATGGAAACAGGAGGCCCTTCATACACTTAAATAAGCTGGAAAAATGGCTCTGCCTCTAGGCCATGGGACAAAACAGATCCCATGGCAGGTGACGTGGGAAGAGGCAGAGTAGCTTTTATGACAGTGGCCGCAGGTGGTGGAGAAAATGGCTTGAGGTTTTTGGAACTACAAATGAGTTGGCTTAGAAGAACATTACATCTTGGGAAAACATGTTTAGCAAAATTTTGGACTCCACGGACACTAAATATTTAGCCTATCATTATCTGCAATATCTGCAATATCTGCAATCACTCTGCATAATTTATTCTGTGTTGTCTTGGGTCAACAACGACTCTTCCAAAGGAGATTAGGAATCTGCACATCAGCACACACACTGAAATGGAAATGGTGTATTTCTTCAAAAAAGCTAAAAATAATAAAGTTATTTTTTATTTTCAAATTTTAGTCTTTGACCTAACTGAAGAATTGACTAGCATAGATGTTAACAATTAATGATGCTCATAAATATGCAGAGTTAAACACAGCCTATGATGACTTTGAAAATGACAGTGTAAAACCACTGTTGTACTGACCTCCAGGGATGTCAGTGGAAGCAGTGAGTGACATTCCAGCACCTGACACCCAACAGGAAGCAGGTAAGAGAAGGCAGGGGATGGTCAGCCCAGTGTACAGAATTACAGGTAATGTACACAACTGTCAGGCGGCTGGTAACAGACCAATGGGAATAAATCTAAGCTTCTACTGACTGTTGGATCCTGTCAAATGGGCAGAGCATTGGGAAACAAAAAATTGCACTGTAAAAAGTAAGTTAGTTGGGTCATTGCCTTTAGAAAACCATTAGACAGATATAAACAAAACACATTTAAAGCTGTTTGTGAGCCATGGTTTAGCCCAACAAGAATGAACTTTAGGAGAGACACGTAATGACAAATGGATGCTTTGGTTTTTCTGAGACACCTTATCCGACCCTGGGAATGTGACCTTGTGAGTCACCCAGGTGAGAAAGCTTTACATGACTGGATGTAAATGTCAGTGAATGAAGAGATAAATATGCTACACATACCCATCATGACATAACCTAAATTGAAGGTCATTTACTGCCCCTCGGGGTAATGAAGCTGACACAACAAGGGACTACAGATTCTGCTGCAGCGTCAGGGCCCCGATGCTTACGTACCCATGGGAGTGGACACCGACTTCTGCTATGGAGGAGGAGCCGCTGTATCCTACGGCTGTGAGTGTCAAACAACCAAACCCCTCAGCCTGCTGCTATGAACTATTTTAATGCTCTTGGTATCATTTTTATCATAGAACATGTCAGAAACAAGGCTAGTCAGAAATGGGCACCAACTCATGATCTTTGAGGGATATGTCTTTGCCAAAGCCTCTAGTGGTACATAATGCTGGACTTGATTATTGAAGACTACATTAAATAATAAGGGAGAACACTGGCCCCTAAATCTTGTAAGTGGTGTTGCAGCTAAACACAAGGATAAATTGGCAGCCTCACCAGTTAAATGGTTAGTCTAAGGAAATCTTATTGATGGACATACAAAACATTTCACATATGTTAGTCCACAAAAGCCCTCCTACATACAATGCCCAGCCATGGGACTTGACATGGGTTTTGATCTTCTTCCTTGGACTAATGATAAAGCCCCAAATGAATTGAAGAAGATTCTTCTCACTTGGCAAATACACAAGTCCCCAAAGCTATGGTCACCGCCAGATGGAGCTTGAATCTGAAAGCATTTGTTCCTAGCAGGATACAAGGTCAATACACAAAAATCTATTTGATGTCAAACAAATGAAATGAAAGTACAAAATATTGCTGAAATAAATTAATGAAGACCTGAAAAATGGAGATAAATTTTCTGTTTGTGGGTCAGAAGACTCACTATTTTTGAGATGTCAATTGCCCCCAATTTGATGTATAGATTCAGTGCAATCCAACTCAAAGTCTCAGTCAGCATCTTTGGTAGATAGTGACCAGCTGATTCTAAATGAATATGAAAATGCAAAAGACCTAGCATAGTCAAAATACCTATAAAATAAAGAACAAAGTTGAAGGACTAGCTCTATGTGATTTCAAGAACTATTATAAAGTTGTAGTAATCAAAGCAGTGTGGTATTGATGTCATGATAAGTCAATAGACCTCTGGAACAGAATAAAGAGTCCAAAAATAAACTAATACCTATAAAGAGACTGGTTTTTTTTTGTTGTTGTTGTTGAGGAAGATTGGCTCTGAGCTAACATCTGTGCCAATCCTCCTCTATTTTGTATGTGGGTCACCACCACAGCATGGCCGCCAACAAGTGGCATAGGTCCATGCCGGGGGACTGAACTCGGGCCGCCTAAGAGGAGCGTGCAGAACTTAACCCCTAGGCCACAGGGCCGGCCCCAAGACTGATTTTTGACATATACAAAAAGGCAATGCAGTGGAGAAAAGATAGTCTTTTCAACGAATGGTGAAGCATGATCTTTTTCAACCTTTTCAACTAATGGATGTCTATATCCATATAAAAAATAGTTAAGTAAATAAACAGAATTCATATCTCACACCACATTCAAAAATTAACTCAAATTAGATCATAGATCTAAATGTAAACCTTAAAACTGTAAAACTTCTAGAAGAAATTATTTGTGACTTTAGGTTAGGCAAAGATTTCTTAGATTGATACCAAAAACATAGTAAAAGAATACGTTGATAAATTGGACATCATAAAAATTAAAAACTTTTGCTCTTCAAAAGACACTGGTAAGAGAATGAAAAGTCAAGCCACAGTTAGTATAAAATATTTGTAAATTACATATCTGATAGAGGACTTATACCCAGACTGCATAGAAGCTCTTAAAACCGAAGAAGAAGAAGACAAAGAAATCAATTTTAAATTGGGTAGAAGATTTGTATAGTAATTCTGGAAATAGGCAATGTAAGTCATCCACGTTTATTCTTCTTTTGTAAAATTGCTTTGATAATTCAAAGTCATTTGCATTTCCACATAAATTTTAGAATCAGCTTATAAATGTCTACCAAAATACTGCTGGAATTTTGATTGGAATTGTATTCAATCTGTTAATCAATTTGGGGAGAATTGACGTCTAAACCATATTGAGTCTTTCAATCCTCAACAAGCTTTCTCTCTCCATTTATTTAGTTCTTTAATTCCTCGAGGCTATGTTCTGTCTTTTGCAGTGTACTGTTCTTATGCACATTCTGTCTGAAAAGACAATGCAATCAGAGAATTGGTCAAGAGACTTGAGGAAATACCTCACAAAAGAAGATCTGTAGATGACCAAAAAGCACATGAAAAGATGCTCAGCTCAGTCACCAGGGAAATGAATTAATAGTACAATGAGTTACCACTCCACATCCATTACCCTGGCTAAAATTAAAAAGATCGAAAATACCTCACGTGGTGAGGATGTAAGGCAACTAGAAATCTCTTACATGTGTGGGAATGAAGACGGTACAACCACTTTGAAATGCTGAATCACAGTTAGACACATGCCAATCATAGGAACAGCCCTTCCACTCCTAGGTATTTACACAATATGTCCACACAACAGTCTGCATGTGGATATCCATGAGAGCTTTATTCATAATAGCCCAAACCTGGAAACAACACAGATGTCCATTAATAGGTGAACGTGTAAATGCATCTGATATATCCATACAAGGGAATACTACTTATCAACAAAAAGGCATGAACTGTTGATGCCTGTGGTTATGTGGATGGCTTTTACAATCATTGTGTGGCGTGAGGACTTCCAGACATGAAAGAGTACACGTACGGTTCCATTTATATAAAGTTGTCAAGAATGCAAACCCATCCATAATGACAGTGGTGGCTGGGGCTGAGGGTCAAGGGGGCGATGGACGGCAAAAGGGTACAAGGACGGTTGTCAGATGATGGCGATGCCCTGTCTCTTCATTGTAGCAGTAGTTTCATTGGTGTATACATCTGTCGAAATGCAGTTAATTGTCTACTTTAAAGTGGTGTAGTCTATTGTACCTAAATTACACCTCGATAGCATAGAAATAGCACAGAAAGGAGGATGTGATGGGGGCAGCTTGTTGGAGTGAAAAGAGCCCTGGGCTGAGTGTGGAGGCTCCAGGTCCAGCCTGAGTGCTGTCTTCACTACCGTGGGTGAGTGATGGATCCTCACTTCCTTGAGACCTGTCTCCTCACCTGGAAAATGGGTCCAATAATCTGTTGATGGTAGCTGTAGTGAACAAATGTGGGAAATTTATGAATGCACTTCAGACAAAGGGAAGCCCCTCACCGTGTGGGGTTGGGTAAGTCCCTGGTGCAGTAGGACTTGGTGCAGGGAAAGTTGTCTAGACTGGAGCACTTTCCGCAGAGAGAACCTCCCTGGATAGCGCACAGAAGCCACCTTGGAGGCTCATCAAGTCCCCAGACGGAGGGCTGTGGGACAGGGTTGTCTTTCCTCTCCTTAGAGCAAGGAGGAGGTTCTACGTGAGAGCTCTGAAGGAACATAGAGCCTCTGCCTGTGGCAGGATTGGTGGCAGGATGGAGGACACCACTGCAGAGGTCAAGATGGAGGCTGGACAAGCGTCCAGAGACATAAGGAAAAAAAGACAATTTAAATTTTTGCCGAATTTCAGGCAGAGCATGTCATGATGGTGATCCACCAGATCAGAGTCACGCTGCCTGACGGATCAGAAATCCATTCCAGGGCAATTCTTAAAGACAACGTGTTAGAACTTCAGGACAATACTAACTCATACGTAGGTATTTATGTCTCTATGGCCATTGAAGCCACTGTGTTTATAGCGGGTGAAAGTGGGAAATACCTGACTGGACATTTCTGAATTTATTTGCAGGAAATCGTGAAGATGAGGAGGATGAACAAGTAGCAGGCACACTCACCCCCAGGTAACCATGAATAATCAGGAGCCGGTGATGGTCAAATATGGAGGGGGGCTCAGAAGAACAGTGAGGCCAGAGAGTCCCAGCGCCAGGATGAAGGATCAGCACAGGTGCAGACTGCGTTGTTTAACTCACTCCCCAACACTGAGACGGCCCTGTCAACTTGGTGTCTCTTGCTCTGTGGTTCTTGTCAGTATGACCCACGGTGAACTCACCAGCCTTAGGATTTCCTGCACACACAGAAAACACCTATTGTCTCCTGGAACTGAACACCAGGATGAGATGCATACCCACTTCCTACACAGTTGTCTTAGGTCCTTGGTAGGAAGGTAGCCAGCAAAGGAATTAGAAAAGAAGTAACTAGCAAAATTAAACACCAAAAAAGTACCTAGACAAAAAAAATTTACTTGTCGTGTGACAAATGTGAGACAGAGGCCTGGAAGGCACACCATCTCTGGGGTCTTCGAGGCCTCAAGAGCTGCATTCACCCGGCCACCCTGAGCTAAACTCAACACGACGTAGGCAGGTGGTGGCAGCAGCTGGTGTGGTTCTCCACTTGTGCTTTGTGTGGTGACTGTCCCATCTTGGGATGGTTGAGTCCCATTCCCCACCAGTGGTTACGAGTCCAGTGCACCCAGCACGTGTGCTGTCTCTCCCACCCCGTGGCAGCCACACTCTGCTCCTCGTATAGGAGGATAGTTGTTTCCCTCTTAAAGGGAACTCCACCTTTGCTTTCTGTGACCCCTCCCTCTGCCTACATCAAAACCAGCTAGGATGCCGTGTTGTTCGATCCTCTTAGTTTAATCTTCTGTCGTCCCTCTCCCACCTAGCACAGCATGAGCTGCAGGAGGTTGAGAAGAAGGAAGTCCTGCAGGACTCACAGGATGAATGTGTTTTGACTCCTTCAATTTGCCGAGAAGTGTCTGACTGCTACCAGCCTTACGGTGAAGGTAAATTTGCATTTGATGAGCAGGAGGTTGGCTCTGCTCTGGATGTAGGCAGTGAACACTCTCATTCGAAAGAGGATGGATCTCCAGCTCCTCTCCCAGGCAGCCTTCCGATTCTTTGCTCCCCAAACCTGTCTAGACTGAGAGATTTAATCCCCATAGGCAGACTCTGTACTTACCGGTTTGAACCAGACTCCAGGATTGAGTTTGAAATAAAACAGTCCGTGAGTCAGTGAACGTTGCTCAGTTCCTAGTCTAAGGCCACACCTCTTTCATGTTTGTCCCTCTGGCAGATCCCACTGGACCCAGGGTGGTCCTGCCAGACTCACAGGCACCTACGGGGGCACAGGAGGCGACTTCCAGACACTCTGATTTTGAACGGATCTCTCACCTCGCGTGTAGTGCTCTACTCGTTACTCCTGAGCAGTGTCCTTTGAGCACCTGCCCCTGCCCGTGCCTGTTGGCGGCCTTGTGTTCTTTGACCATGTCACTGCCCTGGTTCACTCCTCTTAACCCAGAGTCTAGCTCCTTTCCTTTGTCTTAACTCATCTCATCTCGGGAGTAGCTCAACTAAGCTCCACTGTCACACTTTGTGCATTTCCCCAAGGCGAGGCAGGACCCTGGAACTGCCCTACCCCGTGAATGGCCACTGTTTCTTTAGAGCATTGATGATTCTTTTCATTTGATAGGGTGGAGGTTCCACTTACTGTCTAATCTACATGTGCAATTCCTTTAATTAACAAACAGCATTTCAGATGGAAGAAGCCTGAATATTGCAGCGACATTCTAGGAAGCAGCCAGGTAGTTCCCCAGGATCTCTGGGGAAAGGGACGTGTTGAAGTGTTTGCACAGACTCGGGACATGGGCTACGGTGATGATGACCTATCGTATCATGGAGATTTGTCCCATGGCTGCAGAAAGTCAACCGGTGACTTCTTACCAGGCCCTTCCTAGTATTTCCTGGAATATTTCCCTTACTGTAGGCTGTCATTTCCCTGTGGATATTTATGTCCCTGTGCTAGGACCGGACACAGGATTGGGCATTTCCAAAGGGGGAGCTGCTTAATGTAACCGTCCTTCTTTTGATTTACTTGGGGAAAACCAAAATGATCATGAGCTGGTGAAAGGCCCAGAGCCAATTGGCCCCAGGTAATTCTGAATAACTGCGGGCTGTTAATTCCCTGGTGACATCTGCAGACCTTAGATCCAGGGAAAAGCAGAAAGTGCTCAGTATAACGGTATCATCCGTTCTGCCAACCACAAATTATCCTTTTTCATAATGTCGTCTGCTTTCCTTGTGGCACTTGTATGGTTTCCATTTCTTACTAACTTCTCAAGTTTAGTAACCCACAGCCAGTTGACCCGGGTGAACCAGTAAGTCACAGCGATTTCCTGCGTCACTCGTTCTCTTCTGTGTGGTTGACAGAGTGAGATGCGTATCTGCTTTCTGCCTCCCTGGCGTTAGCATGTTGGCACGTATTTCATAGCAAGAAATGTAAGTGGACAAAAATATGATTATATCATGCCACAATATTGGGAGAAAGAGGCCTTGATGGCATGAGATTTCTGGGATTCTAGATGCTCCAAAGGCTGTGTGCACTTGGCCACTACATGAAAACTCACTGCAATCGAAATGAAAGAGTGAAAGCTGCTGTTCATGACTGTGTGTTGCGAGTTGCGAGTGAACTGGACAGAGGTGATTCAGTCTCTTTCCTTACCAGCTCGTTGTCCGGGCAGCGCACCGAGCATCTACGGCCTTTCTCTCTCCTGCCCTGTGACAAACAGCTCTGTCCCCCAAATAGGGAGAGTTGTTCCCTCTTTAATGGGTCAGCCCCTTTGCTTTCTTGACCACTCCCTTACACCTTCCATCAAAACCAGATAGGACGCTATGATTTATGATCCCTCTTGGGTTCATCTGCAGTGCTCCCTACCCCACCAGGCTTAGCAGGGAGCTGCAGCAGATGGTAAAGCACAACTCCCAGGGACTCCCTGGAGGAATACTCTCTGACTTCTTCAGTCGTTCCTGGCCTGTCCGACTCCTACTGGCCTCATAGGAGGAGTGCCGCCATCTTCCCATTTGAGGAACTGGAAGTCTATTCTGCTCTAGATGTATCAGTGGGTACTCTACTGCCAATGGGATAAAACATCAACTGGACCCCCAGATAGACTCTGAATTCTTTGTATTCCTGCCCTCGGCTGTGCTGAGTGATGTCGTCCCTGTGTGCAGGTCCTGTAGAGGCATAGTGATTTGAATCAGGCTCTAGGATTGAGTTTTAAGCACAGACGTGAGATGGTTCAGGGAGCTTGGCATGCCTGGACATGCCCATGTCACCCTGGCCCCACTGTCAGGTCACTGGAACCAAGGCAGGCAGGACAAACTCAACTCACCTCTGCAGCACCAGCAGAGACAGTGTTTGTCAGATCTCAGAGTGTGGATGAAATGTCTCTTGGCACCTTCAATGCTCTAAGTTTCATGCCTGAATCACATCCCTTAAGATCCTACGCCTGCCATAAACATTTAAAAATCAATAGAATTGAGTCACTCGTATGGCTGAAAACTAAATTAGCAATCTGGAATATAAAATGGAGAAAATAACTCAGAATGTAGAGAACGACAGAAAGGGAAACTCTCAGAAAGAAGTTGAGACGGTGGATAGATCCAGAAAACCGTTAATGTGTAATTAATCCAAGATGGGAGAGCAAAGATGAAAAATCAAATAAATAGTAGAAGATGATTTCCCTGAACTAAAAAAAAGTTTTCAGATGGAAAATGTTCACCATGTGCCAAGAACTCCTCTGTTGAAATTTTAAAATTCCTAGTATAAAGCTTACAAAGAAAGAGAATTACTGGGACACCAAACATGAGACTGTCATCACACTTTGCATGAATAATACTGACGTTAGAAGACAGTGGAGCAGGACTTCAAAATTCTCAGGAAAAATTATTTTGAGCCAAAATTTTATCGCCAGCCAAACGGTCACTCAAGAATTAAGGCAAAAAAAGCTGTCTAATGACTCAGAAAGCTTCTCCTATTTACTCTTCCTGGTATGACCTGGGGATGTAATGCAGGAAAAGGAAAAATGAATCCAACAAAAATAAGAACTGCTCAAGGAATGAAATGAAAAGAAATTTCAAGCTATAAAGCAGGCCTAGAAAGCAACTGGCCCCAATTAGAACAGGGAAGACAGGAGCCAGTGATTGAAGAAGACGGATTAAAAAAAAATGTTTAATAATCTGGAAGATTTTAAATATGTGAAAATGTACACATATGTCTATCTATCCACTAGAATAAAGGAACTGAAAAAACTATTCAGAAGTCATAATAAGACAAAGCAAAGATAGAAAGAGTATAAGTAGAGGGAGTCTACTTTTTCTTCATTTTTTGGATAGATATTTTTGGTAACATAAAATCACTCCATTTTTATGAGCCTTACATACCACTTGATTCTTCAATATTTATATAATCTTAATATTATGAACGTCTCTTATTGGTTTTCAATTTTTAAAGTCAAGTTATAGACAAAGTACTAAAAACTAACTTAAAATTCCAGAACAGAGGGCAAAAGTTATAAGCCCTGATATGATGGGAAGAGGGAAGGGTCAGCAGAAGTGAGTGGCCCTGAGTACTGCCCTCATCTCACAGGATAGGGAGTAGGTTGACAATGTCAGAAGTTGATGAATCAAGAAATAGGGATTTATGCATGTTATTTAGAGTTGTGCATGTAACCATAAAAGATCTTAAAATGTTAATGTAACTAATAAAAATTAGAAGGTGACATGCAGATGGGCTGAGAGGTAGGGTGAGTGCACTAAGTTTACACACCTTGCATGGTAGGAAACTGACATATATGACGTGAAGTTGCTAAGGCCAGAAACACAGGCACGCACGTCCGGGTTAGTTCTACAGTATAGAAGACCTAAAACCTGAAGGATTTAAAAACGGTTACTTCTAGGAAGTAGAAGTAAGGATGGGGGAGGGGATGCTCAGCATAATGGAGAGACTTTCATTTGTTCCATTTTTCGGTACTCTGAGTTTATTTATTGTTTTTAACATGTTGTGAATAGCCTTTTATAAATAATAATATATGTATTTAAAAGTTTTCCTAGTGATGCTTTTTCTGGGAGTGCGAATTGGGAAGGACGTGCTCCGTGTTATCCAAGGGCATTCCAAGTCTCCAGCCTCCTGACCCCGGGTGACTTTAGGGATCTGAGATCACCTGGTGTCTTGGGGACCCAGCCTGATTGGAGGGAACCTGGGGAAGCTGCCCCGGGTCAGGTCAGAGGAGGAGACTCCTCCAGGGCCCTAAGGCTGCGGGTCTGCTCAGCAGGAGGTCCTAGAGGGGTGACCCCAGGAGACCCTCCTTCCACTGCCCCACAAGGTGGGTGAGACCCTTCACCTGCCTCAGCCCATCCATGTTGGATATTCCCCTAAGCCAGAGCCCGTGCTTTTCAAAGAAAGCTCCACAGCCCGTGTTCCTTGGCTTTGGATTTGCTTATCTCCTGGGAATTTCCAGGGTCCTTTTCTCGGAGGTGCCTGCAGCTGCCTGTGACCCCACTAATGGTGGGTGGATCCACCCCTAGGATGTCACTTCAGGGTCTGCAGATGAGGGTTTTAGGAAGACGTTTTGTTCGTGGGGGCCTGAAGCAAGCCTCCTGGAAAGCGTCCTGGGGCTCATCAGCCCCGAGCATTCACGTTGTCCATCTCTGCTGCCACACTTGTCAGCACCCGGTCAGGCTGACTCAGCCCAGGGCCTGTGGAAACCATCAGCATCACTCCTCTGAGGCTTCTGCCAAACAGATGATAGGCAGCTCTTCTGGGAAGAGTCATATTTCCGATTGCAGCTGGCCATTCATCGAGCACCGGGAATTTGCCTCATCTTGTCTGTTGGCCAA